GAGAGAGAGAGAGAGAGAGAGAGAGAGAGAGAGAGAGAGGAAATGATCCCAAAGGGGGTACGCGAACGAGGGGATGAGACAGCGAGAAAAAAGGCGGGTGAGGCAGTGGAGTGCATTGTTGCGTAGAGATACGGACGAGGTTCGTCAGAGATGGGTTGTTGGTGTGGCGGGGTCTAATGTGAATCTTGTCGTGCGTGTTGCGTTTCTGTTTAGGCCGGACGACGTGGCCGAGAAGGTGGCTTCGCGCAGCGGCATCTGCGCTCAGCGACCATCCCAGTACCAAAGGATAGCATCCAGCTGACATTCATCTTCCGTCCCCAACCCCACTCCCCCCCCCGCTATCACCAGACCAACGACGTTTCTCCCCAAAACGTCTCCCTGAATGCGTCGTTCGCGTCGATCATGGAGGGCCTTGGGGACGTCGGCGACGGTACCCCCAATCGGTCGTTTGCGTCCATGAGGTCGGCCGTCCGAGCCGCCATCCCGAAAAACTTCGTCAAGGACAGGGCTCGCGCGATCGAGGGCATCGCGCCAATGGCGTGCATGAGCGAGGAGGGCGGGAAGGCCGTCGAGACCAGCGGCGGCGGCAGCAAGAGGGCTGATCCCGCATCGTCAGGTGAAGGGGGAGGGGTGTGTGGGTGTGATTTGGTTCTGGAGATGGCATAGGGAGGGCGGAGAGCAATTTCTCTTGGCCATTGTTTAGGAGTGCCGACCGCAGTTGGATGTGTTCCAGACTGAGAGAACGGTGTGATTTTTTTGTGTCGGCGGCGATTCTTCGGCAAGGGTTACTGCTGTTTTCGCGGGCATTGGCTTGTTGTAAGAACACACCACCACGCAATGAAAAACACACGCAACGGTTTTGTGCTACGAGATGATGCCCCGGGGTCATCGAACCCACGCCTTTAATTTTTTTGCCCTGCATGCGCCACGATGCAGAGGACGAGTTTATGGATGCCCTGTCCCACCACAGTGGCGCCGAGGACGCAGGAGAGAGCAACGGAGACGCCCTCCGTCAGGTCACCGCCGGTTTGGAAGAGAAGGAAACAGTCCCTGTCGCTCTCGCCGGAGACAGTGAACAAGACATGCGCCGCTTGTTCCGTATGTGCGTGCCGTTTTTGCTGCAGTAGAGGTCTCTGTTTGTGTCCAGAAAATTCACCGGCCTGCTGTACCGGTACTAATTAGAACAGGGATACATCGGTCTTAGCATCGAAGTGGACACTTTGAGCCGGGAGACTTGACCGGCACTATACCGGGCATCGGCTTTAAACAGGGAGATGTTATTTCTGTTGCTGCTGCTGCTGTGCGTTGAGCTGGTTTTGGCCGCCCTCTGCTCGATTCCAGTCTGTCCGCTTCGCGTCGTGCCAATGTTGTCGCAGTGTTTTTTTTCCCCACACATTCCTTCTTGTCCTTTCCTTGGCGGTTGAGGCTGAGGAGTATAGTAGTCTAGTGGACGATGCCCTCTGGTGGTCATAAGCCGGTCTCCCTGATTGTGGCTAGTCGCGGCCTCCTCTGCTATTGTACTATGTCGACGCTAAGGAGGTAGTGCCAGGAGGTGCTGGGGTATTTATCGTTGCTTTTCAGGTTGGCGACAAAAAATATGTTGTTGTGCATGATAAGACGTATATGAAGTCTTCGATTGGTGGCTGTTCTGACCCTTCCCGTCCCACCCCCCGGTGTCTTAAAAAAAAATTGCGACAGCCTTGACATCCTGTCGGTTCTTCTGTCCAAGACCAAGCGGACTTTAGCGAGGGATGCGACCCTCACAGCCTTCGAGGATGTCATCATGGACGTCTTCAAGGTTGGGCTTGGCAGCGACGGAAACAGCAGTAGCTAGCCGTGCACAGGCGGAACTCTGGTTGCAAGAGGTAGAGCTAGAACCGCTCGTTGATCGGTATGAACTGAGTAACGATGGATGGTGACAGGTGTGTAGTGGGTTGTGACCCGCACTCTCTCCAACACCAGTGTGATCTGTTATGCGTGTGTGTGCCTCTCGCTCCTGTGTGTGTGTGTGTGTTCAGTTCTATTCATGCAACCCTCTGTATTCTGCAAAAACCCGGCGTGGGACTCGACACCTCGCCATGACGCGCCTCCTTGCATGCATGCCCCGGTTCGGCAGTGGACCGCCGAGGTGCTTCCGACGTTGATCCCGGACCTCCAATACTTCGGCCCCACACTCCGAGAACAAGCGGTGCAGACCCTCGGCAAGTACTCCCTCCTTGGGGAGGCGGCGGCCGTGAGGCACAGCCCCATGCTGCTCAAGATCGCCCTGTGCGAGGATGAGGCGACCGGCGTTCGCGCCTGCGCTATGCAGGTGTGGCGGGGCGGGGGGGGGGG